ATCGTGTCCTGCTCTGTCTGTCCTGACCTGTTCGTGACCCTGGGCAAGTGCAATTCATGGCAGGGTCTCAGGGTCCTCTCTTACTGTGAAGGGTTAGGACAGAAGGTTTCTGGGAAAAGTACCTACCTAAAGGGGTGACTCAGACTCACCCAGCTCCAGGCCTTGGCATAGAGGGGGTACCCTTTGTACTAGTTGTACTAGTTACAGATTGGGGTTCTCATGGCTATTAAGTGATGCTGCTCCATCCCCTCCTGCTCCATGGTACGGCCCTATGGACCCCAGGGGAGGCCCCCCACATTCCCCAGGGCACTTCCCTGGGAGAGCAGCTCCCTATCTCATGGGTTCTAAGCTTCGAGGGCCAGTGCCAACCTGGTTAGGGTCCGTCCAGGCTTGCTCATCTGCCCTCACTGCACAGCTTCTGCTGTGGTCTTGAAGTCTGTTGTGCAAGTCTGGGCCAAGCCCTGACCTCTGGGACTGCCCCAACCCCAGGTCTCAGTGTATGCATGTGGAAGTAGGGGGGCTGGAGAGGTGTAGTGGGCTCCGAGGTCAGGCTAGTGGGCAGGACCTTGCTAGCCTGCCCCTGTCCTACTCCGGACTCTGCCAGGGTGGTGTAGGGTTTGGGTGGCTGCAAACAAACCAGGGGGGCTGGGACTTTGTCCACCTTACAGCCAGTCCCTGCGCCAGGTGGGGTGCGGTCTCCGGTGCTGTCTGGCTGTTCCCCCTTCCTCCTCTGGGTTGGCCCTCCCCATCATGAAAGTGCTCTGGCCACACCCTGGCCAGCCTCTGCAGCCATTCTCAGGCAGCAGCTCTCCCCCACCTGTCAACAGAACAGTTGGAGTCTGTGCCTGGCAAAGCTGGGGTGGATTCTATAACAGGGGAGATGACGGTGCCTGGGAGTAATTCACTCCCCCGCAGCCAAGGCCCAGGGGCTGCCCCACCTGACAGACTGTGAGGTCAGCAAGCCCTGGACAGGGAGCAGCAGCCACCAGGGGCCAGCACCTCGGCAGGCTCCCTCCTCCCCCCCACCTGCCTGTTGCTGCATCCTGGCCCTTCTCTCCAGGCCCCTGGCTGACTCCACTTGCCTGAGCCAAGCTTGGCCTCCAGGGCGCGGTGTCTCCAACCCCCTCTCACTCTCCTTCTCTTGCTGGCCCACTCCCACTCCCACTACCCTTGCCTAGCACACAAGGCTCACTTCTGGGAATCCCTCCTTCTGGCCATTCAGGGAGTTCTGGCACTTCTCTAATGGCACTGTGCGGCTTGTTCCTGAGCTGTTTCTTCCGCCTGCCCTGAGAACAGGGACTTGGACTTACTGTCTGGGTGTAGAGCTCAGAGGGTACCCCAGGAGGGCTGCTCTCAGGGGGAGGACAAAGGCTGGGGATCAGCCTGGAGCTGAGGGTGGCTTGTGCGCCCCATGGACACCCCGGGGAGCAGAGTTGGTGGGAAGTGAGCAGCAGCTGCAGAAATGTGAGGCCCTCGAGGGAGATGGGCTGCGGCTTCGCCATCAGCCTGGAGCACAGAGCACTGCTCCTCAGATGCCCCGAAGCTGGCGGAGGTGCCCAGGTGCTACCATGCATTGAATCAAGGCCAGCGTTGGAGTCCACAGGCCTGAGGGACGCCAGAGGCCTTTAGAGATGGACTCATTGAAAGGCGGGGCTGGGGTCCAGATGCAGCAGTAACTGGACCCATATGGGGAATGGCCTGGGTTCGTGTCGTGGGACCTCCCTGAGCATGACAGGTGCATGTGTGAATGTGCCCTGATCGTGGCCCCGTGAGGGTAGATCATAAGAAAGAAAAAAACTAGGAAAAACAGGGCAGGGAGGGGCCTAGAGAGGACTGGAACTGCCCCTCCATTGTCATGGACAGTGACTCACAGGGACTCACCCAGCCTCCCAGTGCCCAGTGCCAGCCCATGGGCCAGCAGCCCTGTCCTGCCAGCCAGAGCCCTCCCTTCCCGAGGTGCTGCCCCAGACTGCACATCTGAACTCAGCTCTGGGTATAGGGCAGCTCAGCCTCCTGCTTCCCTTTTGCCTTCTGCCCCTGGGGTGGCCTGTTGGGCATCTGCCTCAGTTTCCCAGAGATTAGGGCTTCTTTCCTCTGTAGGTACTAGATTCCTCCCCTCCTATCAATGTCCCAGCTGTTTCCAGATGTCTCGGCCCCCAAGACCTTAAGACTACTGCTCTTGAACTCCCACTACAGCACCTGTGGCATGCAGGCCCCATCCCTGCCTGTCTGGGCAGTGGCCGTGACTCTGGGCCTGAAACCCCTTGCAACTCTTTTGGGGCCATTGTGCTGCCTGCCCCTCACCCCCAGCCTGGCCCCCCAGGCTCAGCTGCATCCTGTTGCTCCTCCCCGAGGCCCTGCCAAGCATGGGCAGCACTTGGTGTGGTGGAGATCTTTGCCCTCCCCAACTCCTGCATCTGAGTTCACCTGCCCATCCTGGCCTGCAGCCACACAGGTGTTGCCACTTCCCCCTCCAGACTTGCTGCGTGGACTTGGGGAAGTCTCTTCACTTGGTTGAGACGCGCTGTCCCCAACATGAAGCAGGGGAATCTACCTCTTCGCAGAGCTGTCAGGAGGATTAACTTGTCAGAGGCTTGGCATGGGCCTCAGCACACTCCAAGGGCACGGAGGCCCAGCCAGCAGCCTCGCCATGTCTGACGCAGCCTCGCCCCTGGGAGCAGGCTGAGAACAGAATGCACTGACTCTGCAGGTCCTCGCCAGGGGAGTGTGGAGGTGTCCAGGACACTCCTGGGGGATGTGGGGGGAAGGTAGCAGACGTAGGGGTCTGGAGGTCAGCAAATTGACCTAAACAAAGCCTGTGAGGTCACTGGGTGGACTGGGTGGCACCCTGGCTGGCAGACTCAGACCCACGCTGCCAGCTGTGCCAGCATGATGCTTGTCACATGCAGGTTTCTCCCTGTTGGCTTCTCTCCAGCCCCAGCCAGGCCTCGGACCTGCTCTGGCTTCCTGCCTGCTCCTGCTGCAGGTGACACAACCAGAGGCCTTCAGCAGGCAGTAGAAATGAAGCAGCTGGGTGGTATGTGGGTGTGCACCCCAGGCCCTGCCCTATGAGCCTGCTCCTCCCAGGGACTGTGGGAAAGCAGAACTGTGGGCTTAGAGAATGTGGGAGTGTCCTGGAGAGCCCTGGAATCTGGGGCCTGGTCGGCAGACCGATGGGTCCCTTAAATTCATGAGGGAACAGACTGGGTTCCTAAGCCCTGATCTGCTCTCCCTGCCTCAAGTCCCTCAGCACCCTGTGCGGGCTTGATTAGAGGGGTGGACAGGTAGGAAGGGTGCGAGCAGAGAAGGGAGAGGTGGTGGGTGTGGCCTTTCCCACCAAGACCAGTCATGGCAGGCCCTCCTAGGCTGACTGCCCTTCTGCTATTGGAATCATTGCTTCCCTTGACCAAACGCTAGGTTCCCTTTATTCTCTGCGGTGTGCCTACCCTGCACCCATGGGCATCAGAGAACAGGTAGGCTCCTCTTCCCAGCCCTGCAGCTAGACAGAACTGGGCGCACCTGGCTAGTCTGTTTCAGGTCCCAATGAGATCCAGACCCACAGTCAGCAATGGCCTCCTCACCACAGGTCAGTACGCGAAGGATGTGCTCCTGCGCTGGGCGGGCCAGGATGGGTCCTGTGGGCCAACTCCGCCTCCAGAAAGTCACCTGGAGCTGCCACCCCCCATACCTTCTCCACGTCCTGCCCTCTCTGGGAAGACCCATGAAAGGGATGCCGGGTTCCCAGGAAGCTCTCCTCTGCCCCTGCTCGACCCCCTTCACCTGACGCTCGTGTTCCTGAGTGGGCAAGCCTGGGGTAGGTGCTTCTTCTGCTGTCTCCCACACCTGGCCCTGGCTGGGTTCTAAGCATCACCTCTCTTCTCGTGGGTGAGGCTGGAGGACAGGGCTGTGTCTAGTGATCTATACCACTGTACCCCCAGCCCAGCATAGGGCCACACACAGCAGCCCTCAGAGAAGGTGCCAGGTGTGTAAACCAGTGAGTGGCACCCACCTCTAGACCTCCACACACACTCAGGGCTGAGGCAGTGGTAAGCAGTTGCTTCAGACTTTATTTGAGAAAAACATAAGACAAACGTATCAAAAGATATTGGGTGAGGATGGCCAGTGATGGCTCTGGAGTGGGCAGTAGGGCTAAGGCCTTCACTTGGCTCCAGACGGCTCTGACTTCCCAGCTTCTGGGCCACCAAGCTGGGCCCGTGCCTCAAAGGTGACAGGGATGGTGATCTCTGCAGACTGTGTGGCTGGCTTGGGCAGCGGGGCCTCCACGGTGAGCGTCCCCTCAGGAGACAGGGAGGAGGAGACCAGGGTGGGGTCCACACCAGGGGGCAGCCTGGACATGCAGAGAGAGGGAGGGGAGTTTCACACAGGTCAGCTCCTGTCACTGTGCCCTCCCTGAGCCCCTTCCTTCCTCTGGCCCACCTCCCCTCCCACCACCCCTACCCACGACCTGAGGCCAGGACTCACGTGTACTTCCGGGTGAAGCAGCGGGAGATGTAGCCGTGCTCGTCCTGTCTCTCTTCGTGCTTGCCTAGGGGAGGGGAAGAGGGAGGTCAGGGGCCGCAGCAGGGAGGGGGCGTCACCCCGCTGCACAGAGGTCCCACCACCGGCTGGGAGGGAAGGTACCCCGGAATTGACTTAGACACAAATTGCCAGGAGAGGTTTGGGGAGGGGTGTTCGACTGTCCAGGTCTTCAGAAACTTGTGGAAAGTTCCACTCAGTTTTTAGAGGGCTAGGGGCACGGCGCCAGGTTCGCGCTGGCAATGTTGGGGACCAGAGGGGGCGCGGTACATGCGCGCAGGCGCACACGGACCCTCGTACACGCCCCCTTTGCAGCCGGGGCTAAGGGCAAGGTCTGCTAAATTTGGGGGTAGGGTCCTCGCTGGGAGGGGCGTGTCTCCCCTTAATAAGCCATCTTTAGAACTGTAGGGGCTCTTCGGAGCCACCTGCCGGGCGCATCCTACAAAGGGGAAGCCAGCCAGGGAGCAGGGCTCCTGCCTCCCGGTCCTTGGCTAATTTTGAAGGGCCAGGCCCCGGGCCCATGTTCCAATCCCCCCACACCAGTCCCGGTTAATCCCGCGCGGTACAAAGTCCTCACCGGTGATCTCCACCACGCCGTCTTTAGTCTTGACCGTCAGCTCCTCGGGGGCGAAGTGGTTGACGTCCAGGGACACGCGCCAGCGGTCGGCTGTGTGTCGGATCTCCGAGATGCCGCTGCTGAGCTGCCG